GCCACTTGTGGGGTTTGCTGCAGCACTCTTCACTTGTGGGGTTTGCTGCAGCAATCTCCACTTGTGGGGTTTGCTGCAGCAATCTTCACTTGTGGGGTTTGCTGCAGCACTCTTTACTTGTTTGCTGCAGCACTCTTTACTTGTTTGCTGCAGCAATCTTGTGGGGTTTGCTGCCACAATCTTTACTTGTTTGCTGCAGCAATCTTCACTTGTGGGGTTTGCTGCAGCACTCTTTTCTTGTTTGCTGCAGCAATCTTGTGGGGTTTGCTGCAGCAATCTTGTGGGGTTTGCTGCAGCACTCTTTTCTTGTTTGCTGCAGCACTTGGAAACGCGCTGCTGCCTCTCGCCGTGCGGCTTCCCTCTTCAGCAATTGACATCAACGAGTGGCTCGCTTGCCAAGGTCCGCTGCTGCTGCTGCTGCTGCTGCTGCTGCTGCTGCTGCTGCTGCTGCGGCTGGGGCTGCTGCTGCTGCTGCTGCTGCTGCTGTGGCTGGCGCTGCGGCTGTGGCTGCTGCTGCTGCTGCTGCTGCGGCTGCTGCGGCTGCTGCGGCTGCTGCGGCTGCTGCGGTTGCGGCTGATGCGGCTGCTGTTGCTGCGCGTGCTGCTGCTGCTGCTACTTCTGTTGCTGTTGCTGCTGCTGCTGCTGCTGCTTTGTCTTAGCTGTTGCAGCAGGGGCACTTTAGGCAGTGTTTTGCTTCCCTAGGGTTTGGGGTTTAATGTTTTGCTCTTCGTGTCGAGGGAGTGCATTTGCGGCCCGAGGGTTTAGGGTTTGTCTCAGAGAGTTTAGGGTTTGCAGAGGGTTTAGGGTTTGCAGAGGGTTTAGGGTCTGCAGAGGGTTTAGGGTTTGCAGAGGGTTTAGGGTTTGCAGAGGTTTTAGGGTTTGCAGAGGGTTTAGGGTTTGCAGAAGGTTTAGGGTTTGCAGAAGGTTTAGGGTTTGCAGAGGGTTTAGGGTTTGCAGAGGGTTTAGGGTTTGCAGAGGGTTTAGGGTTTGCAGAGGGTTTAGGGTTTGCAGAGGGTTTAGGGTTTGCGCTGCAGTGTATGACATCTTCAACGAGTCGACGGTGGTTTGGGGTTTTGTGCAAGAGGTTTGCAACTGCCGGCGGCTGACGGCTGGGGAGTAAGGCCCCTTTTAAGGGTTTAGGGTTTGACAAATTAGGGTTTAGGGTTTAGGGTTTAGGGTTTAGGGTTTAGGGTTTAGGGCTTCCTTGCAAACTAGGAGTCTCACATGCAGACAGCAACTGCGAAACAGAAGCTCGCCAACAGGCGAGCGCGCGGCCTGCGGGCGACGGCTCAGGGCCTAGGGTTTAGGGTTTAGGACTTAGGGTTTAGGGTTTAGGGTTTAGGGTTTAGGGTTTAGGGTTTAGGGTTTAGGTGTGGCTGCGCAGCTTCAGCCTCGTGGCCCCCGCAGAACCCTCAGCCCCAGCCAAAGAGCACATTAAAGGGGCCCTTGCGAAGTGCCGCTCCATTCTTCAAGACCCCCGCATTTTCGTTTGCCACCGCGGTAAACCCTAAACCCTAAACCCTAAACCCTAAACCCTAAACCCTAAACCCTAAACCCTAAACCCTAGACGTTAAACCCTGAATCCTAGACCCGGAAGCTTCAAGCTAAAATCCTAAAGCCTAGGGGCTGTAGCCGAAAGCCAAAAGCCTAAAGCCTGGGCCCAAACCCTAAACCCTAAACCCTAAACCCTAGGTCTCAAAGAGGCGGAGGCTCTCGCTGGCTGCAGGGCTGGATCCAGGGCCGAGCTCAAGGGTTTAGGGTTTAGGGTTTAGGGTTTAGGGTTTGCTGCTGCGGCTCAGGCCAGGAGTTTCCCCGCAACTTTCCTTCTTTCGTTTCGCACATACTTGTGCAGCTGCTGCAGATGTATTGCCACATCTACAGGCAGCACTTCGACTGGCTTCTCGAGGTAAACCCTAAACCCTAAACCCTAAACCCTAAACCCTAAACCCTAGACCTTAAACCCTAAACCCTGAGTACTGCTTCCTGGGCCCTACTCAGCCATTTCGTCGTTCGGGTTCCCTTGCCCGGAGTGCACCAACACCAGCAGCAGTATAACAGCAGCAGCAGCAGCAGCAGCAGCAGCATTAGTAAAGTAGCAGCAGCAGCAGAACAGCTACAGCAGCAGCAGCAGAACAGCTACAGCAGCAGCAGGACACGCACAGCAACAGCAAAACACCTATAGCACAAGAACAGCAGCAGCACGACAAGCAGCAGAAGCGTATTAGCAGCAGAGCAACAGCAGCAAGAAGAGCAGCAGCAGCAGCAAAACAACAGCAGCAGCAAAACAGCAGCAGCAGCAGCAGCAGCAGCAGCAACTGCGTTTGCTTCTGCTGCATAGACGGACACTGTGGCGCATGTAAACTGCTGCTTCAAACATGCCCTTTTCTTCGGAATGGAATTCACCCTTGTGAAGCTTGACGACGTAGCCCCAATACGGGTAAGGGTTTAGGGTTTAGGGTTTAGGGTTTAGGGTTTGAAGCCAGCAGGCCCTCGGTCTTGCCTGGGGCCGCCAAACAGCTGTGGGGCCCCTAGAGCTGGAGGGTTTAGGGTTTAGTTTGGGGCCCCTTGAGTCCCTTTTTGCAAAAGAAAGAGAGTTGCTGCTGCAGCAACTTTGCTGCTGCTTTTTGCTGCAAACAGAGCTGAGGGTTTAGGGTTTAGGGTTTAGGGTTTGGCGGTGTTTTGGGTGCCTCAGGGCCTCGCCCTGCACTTCCTAGAGCAGGCCCGGCGGGAGATTGCGGAGGCAGAAGCTGCAGAGGGCACGCAGCAGCAGCAGCAGCAGCTGTTGCTGCAGCAGCAGCTGCAGCAGCAGCAGCAGCTCCAGCAGCAGCAGCTGCTGCAGTCGCAGCAACAGAAAAGGATCCCGCAGCAACAGCAGCAACGGGACTCCGCCCTACTGCAGCAGAAGTGCCAGCAGCAGCAGCAGCAGCAGCAGCAGCAGCAGCAGCAGCAGGACAAGCGGCAGCTGCGCCGCCCTCTATGAGGGGCCCCCAAGAAGCTTTTGGGGGCCCGCAGGGCCCCCAAAACAGCAGACACCAAAGTCAATACCTCCAAAAGGGGGCCCCTATGGGGCTCCTAGGGGCCCCATAGGGCTCAGAAACCGCGGGAGACCTTTTGGGGGCCCCTGAGGGGCCCCCAGGTGCTCAAGAGAACACCAGGGGCCCCCTAGGGCCCCCCAGGGGCCCCCAGGGGCCCCCTAAGGGCCATTTTGGGGTCTTTTAGAAAGTTAAAAGTCACCTGTCATTCAATGGGGCCCCTTCGGGGCACTGTGGGCAAAACTAGCAGCACGCGGATAGCCTCCAGCTGCGGCCAAGACACAGACACCCATGCAGCCTAAACCCTAAACCCTAAACCCTAAACCCTAAACCCTAGACGATGGGAGACCTCAAACGTAAAGACTAGGCAGTAAAGCTAAACCCTAATTCTCACCCCCTCATTCTGCAGCACCACTGAGAGCCAGCCGTGCAGCGCCTCGTTCTCCGGTACAACTGCAACACGCTCGCCCAAACCCTAAACCCTAAACCCTAAACCCTAAACCCTAAATCCTAGACGATGAATGTATCTTCTGTACAGCCTCGCGAAAAGTTCCAGAACGTACGCAGTGCCACGAGACCCTCAGCCTCTCTTCCCTGGCTGTTACTGCAGTCTACCAAAGCCTGCGGCACAAACCCTAAACCCTAAACCCTAAACCCTAGACCGTGGTTTACACATTCCAAGCCATCGTATTCTCGCACAAACCCTTTCCTTTGCGTTACGCCCTTCCCACCGCTTGGGTGTCTAAGGCCGCAGCATGGATTGAAGCCAGCTACCCTGAGACCCCAAACCCTAAACCCTAAACCCTAAACCCTAAACCCTAAACCCTAAACCCTAAACCCTAACTGCGCACCTTGAGTCCAGCAATGAGGTGCTTGGTGAAAACGGTGCGGGCAAAAGAGGCATTGTCAAGAGCTGCGCACAAATGCCAGCTAGGCTCTGCATGCTAGAGGTTTGCGGGCTAGACCTTAGGGTTTAGGGTTTAGGGTTTAGGGTTTAGGGTTTAGGGTTTGGTAGGAGTACAGACCTTCTTGACCCTCCGGCACAAGGCGGCTGCAGCGAGTGTACATGGCCTTCGCCGTCACCAAGTCAGACGCTGAACGCACGAAACCCTAAACCCTAAACCCTAAACCCTAAACCCTAAACCCTAAACCCCAGCCAGCTGCAGCTACCGAGGTGCAAGAGAGTTTTAAATGCTTAGCGCGCCTTCGCAGCTGGCTACGCTTTACAATTCAGGCTTTAGGGTTTAGGGTTTAGGGTTTTCGTGCCTGCTGAGACTCAGGCTCTAGGGTTTAGGGTTTAGGGTTTAGGGTTTTCGTGCCTGCTGAGACAGCCAAATCGAAGGCATTGTGGTCTTGCAAATTCATAGTGCCCTCCAGGGTTACTTCCTCGCTTCCTGCGCAGGCGAGCCTCTAAACCCTAAACCCTAAACCCTAAAGCCTAAACCCTAAACCCTAAACCCTTAGCCACATAACCTTAACCCGAGGCCCTCATTCATGAGCCTGCTTTTTCTGGTGTTTTGACTAAGTGCATCCATGAGCAGTTCAGAGAGTTGAGGGTTTAGGGTTTAGGGTTTAGGGTTTAGGGTTTAGGGTTTAGGGTTTGTGTACCCAGCTTCCGGAGACGCTCCAGCGTCGAGAGCAGAGTCTTGACACGCGGCAGTTCCACATTCGACTGAGCAGCCAAAGTCCGAGCCCTAAACCCTAAACCCTAAACCCTAAACCCTAAACCCTAAACCCTAAACCCTAAAACCTGGATCCTAGACCCTCAGGCCCCAACCCCTGCCCTTCTTTAAAAGCTTTAAAACTACAGCCCATGCCTTTTGCTTTTGCATTGGCTGGCTAAAGTGCCCCGCTGCACCGCCCTAGGGTTTAGGGTTTAGGGTTTAGGGTTTAGGGTTTGGGGTTTAGGGTTTAGGCGGGCCTGGCACAGCGGAATCTCTGGGGTCCCTGCCTCGTCTACGGCGGGGCCCTGCAGAGGCACCACGGGGCAGTCCTGCAGGAGATAAAAGAAATGAACATAAACTTCATATCAAACCCTAAACCCTAAACCCTAAGCCCTAAACCCTAAACCCTAAACCCTACCTGCGTGATCCACACGTTGGCCAGCTGAAGGTCCGTAAACTCAAACACCAGCGCGCCCTGCCCCATTCGCCTGCGCAAACGTGCACCCCAAACCCTAAACCCTAAACCCTAAACCCTAAACCCTAAACCCTAATGGCCCCAGCTCCTTCGCCGAACCCAAGGCCTAAACCCCCGGCAGATGCGCTGCGGGCTGAGCCTCCGCGCCGCGGCCCTGGAAGGCCTTCGGGGCAGGGTTTAGCGTTTAGGGTTTAGGGTTTAGGGTTTAGGGTTTAGGGTTTACTTTGCGAGTTTCACAGAAATGCGGCGGCAGCTCTGGGCCAACTTCAGAGTCCCGTGCAGCTGCTTAGGGTCTATTTGAAGAGCCACAGAATTATTTCTTTTGCTTTCTAAAAGCCAGCCCACGCTGAAGACGTCCGCCTGCCGCAAACCCTAAACCCTAAACCCTAAACCCTAAACCCTAGGCCCTAAACCCTAGCTGCGAGGCGCGCGCTCGCGCCTTCAGGGTTTTCCAGGTGGCTGGGGGAAGCGCGAAGGGAGGCGCTGCGAGCCCTTCAGGCCTACTGCTTAGGGTTTAGGGTTTAGGGTTTAGGGTTTAGGGTTTGCGTACCATGTTGAGCTCTGCATAAAGCTCGCAAGAAGACTGGCGAGTGTTTAGGTAAAGCTTTTTGGGAGTTAATTTCAAACAGCAGCTGCCAGCAGGTCCCCCCTTAGCCAACCTCTGCAGCGCGGCAGTTATTCCTGCAGAAAACCCTAAACCCTAAACCCTAAACCCTAAACCCTAAACCCTAAACCCTACACGGTGCCGCACCCGTACCTATGAGGTGGGGAATCGCCTCCAGGCGCAGAGAGGCGCTGAACTTCATCTTGCCGGGCTGCTCGAGGGCCCTAGCCTGAACCCTAAACCCTAAACCCTAAACCCTAAACCCTAGGCCCAAACCCTAAACCCTCGGCGTAGAATGTGAACGCCTAAACCCTAGAAGAGTGCCCCGAGCATGGGCAAGAAGGGCCCGCCAGGGGCCCCATAGAAAGTACCGGCTTGTTTGTAGGGTTTAAAGTTTGAAGTTTAAACTGTAGACTTCAGATTTTAGGGTTTAGGGTTTAGGGTTTAGGGTTTACGCCATATAGTCTAGGGTTTTGAGTCTAGGTAGGGTCACATCTCTCGCTGGCCAGACCCCCGTAGACCCTGAACCTGGGTCAAAAACCGCCAAACCCTAAACCCTAAACCCTAAACCCTAAATAATCTTCGAAATAAGGATTAAATGTCAAAAAATGTAAAAACAAACGAAAATATGTCAAGATTTCGGCGAAGGGGGCCCCTACAGGTCTGGGGGCCCCCCGCCGCCTCGGGGGGCCCCCCGTGCTGCTGGGGGCCCCTCTTGAACAGTTTTGGACTTGCTGTGCTGCATTAAAGAAGAAAAAAACAATTAAATATATTTATTTGAATAATTAATTAAATTAAAAGTCACAAAAGCTGCAACAGACCCTCTGCATTCCTCACCACCAACCCGAACACATCTCGGGGGCCCCCCGCCACCCTTCTGCTGCTGCAGCAAAGGGGGGCCCCCGCAGCAAAGGGGGCCCCCGCAGCAAAGGGGGGCCCCCACCGCAGCACAGGGGCCCCCAGCCCCCCAGAGGGCCCCATGGACCCCTGGGGCCCCCCACTGAATGGCAGCAGCAAGCAGTTCCCCCCCGAGGGGCCCCCTGAGCTGCTGGGGGCCCCCCGAGTCCATTTTTGTGGGCCCCAGGGGGCCCCTGCCGGCAGCTGGTAAACCCTCACAAGAAGGTGCCCCTCTTCCGGGGCCCCTGGCCCTTCCCCGACTCAAAAGGGGCCCTCGACCCCGCAGCAGCAGCAGCAGCAGCAGCAGCAGCAGCAGCAGCAGCAGCAGCAGCTTGAGTGGCCTTGTTGAAGCTCTTGTGCAGTCACGCGCGAGAGCCCGGGGCCTCCCGGGGGGCCCCCAGGCAGCAAAGCGAAGGGCCCGCAGCGCCGCATGGGGGGCCCTGCTGCGTTCCTCCATTCACTGCAGCAGCAGCAGCAGCAGCAGCAGCAGCAGCAGCAGCAGCAGCAGCAGCAGGGCAGGCGTTGAAGAAGAGCTGGAGGTGCAGCTGCAGCTGCTGCTGCTGCAGCAGAAGCAGCAGCTGCTGCTGAAGCAGCAAGACCACGAGGCAGCTTTCTTGACGCTTGCTGCTGCTGCTATCGCAGGCGAGAGTGGGGGGCCCCCGGGGGCCCCCGGGGCCCCCAAGAAGCACTTAAGGGGGCCCCCACCTCCTTATAATGAGCTGCAGCAGATGCTGCTGCTGCTGTTGCTGCTGGCAGGGTCGGGAGGTGCCACAGCAGCAGCAGCAGCTGCTGCGACGCCCCACAGAGAGGCCATGCAGACACGGCTGCTGCAGCACCTCCAGCAGCAGCAGCAACAGCAGCAGCAGCAGCAGCAGCAGCAGAACGGGACTGCTGAGCCAGATCACGGGGCAGCAGCAACTGGGGGGCCCCTCCAAAGAGGGGGGCCCCCTGAGTATTGCTGCTACCCTGCTGCTTTGCGTGCTGCACTAAGGGGGGCCCCCAGCGCGGGCAGCAGCGCCGGGGGCCCCTTTGGGGGCCCCCTGGGGGGCCCCCCCAGGGGCCCCTACCTCGCGCTGCTGTCCCCTGAACCCTCTTGGGGGCCCTTTGCTGCACCTCTTTTTGGGGACTTGCAGTGGGGGGGCCCCCCCCTGGGGGGCCCCCCAACTCAGTGGGGGCCCCCTGCTGCTCTGGCAGCACCTTTGGGGGCCCCCCAGCCCTTGAAGTCCCCTGAGAGGGACAGAGAAGAGACTCCCGCTGCTGCTGCTGCTGCTGCTGCTGCGGGTTGCGGCCGCAGCGATAGCAGCAGCAGCAGCAGCAGCAGCAGCAGCAGCAGCAGCAGCAGGCTCTTTGGAAGCCCATTTGGAGGCACTGCAGGGTACAGCGATGGGGGCACATTTGGGGCCCTCTCGGGGGCCCCCCTGGGGGCCCTTGGGGGCCCCCCAGGAGTTCTTTCCAGTGAGTCCATCACTGCCTCTTTTCGCGCGTCTCTTTGCAACAAAGCAGCAGCAGCAGCAGCAGCAGCAGCAGCAGCAGTTGCTGCAGCAGCAGAGTCCGGGGCAGAGGACCAGAGAGAGCCGGGGGGCCCCCGGCCAGCAGCGGCTCAAGGGGGCCCCTTGTCACTCCTCCGTGGGTCTCGAGCAGCAGCAGCAGCAGCAGCAGCAGCAGCAGCAGCAGCAGCAGGGGAGGAGCAGCAGCTGCGCCGCTTCGCAGCACTTGCTCTTCGCGGCGAGGAAAACGGGACTGCAGGCCCTCTTCTAAAGGTGACGCAGCAGCAGCTGCAGCAGCAGCAGCAGCAGCAGCGGCAGCAGCAGCAGCAGCAGCAAGGGACCCGCTCGCCCGAGGGTCCTGAAGGGGGGCCCCCAGGGGCCCCCGTAGGTCTGCTTTCTATCCCCGAGGAGGCGCTGCTGCGCCTCCAGAGGGGCCCCCTAGGGGGCCCCCTGGGGGGCCCCCTAGGGGGCCCCCAGGGGGCCCCTCAGGGGGGCCCCCAGGGGGGCCCCCCAGAGGGTACTGGGGGGCCCTCCCTTCCGGCTGGGGCATGGCTGCTGGCCACGCGCCCCTACAGGTCTGCTGAGGGGGCCCTTGCGGGGCTGCCCAGAGCAGCAGCAGCAACTGCAGCAGCAGCAACTGCAGCAGCAGCAG